TATTAGACTAATGTTTTTTAACAAAATTAGATAAAAAGCTAGTGGTGTATGGCATCGTGTCTTAAGGCAAACTGCTGGAACTTCCCGTACCGTAATAAAATATTCGAGAAATTTTAAACGTTTTCAATTATATTATTGCAAATAGTGTAACTTTCATTATTTTTGATATCTTGTTATATCTCAGCAAATCAAATGTAAATCATAAATCAATTTATCTCCAGAACATTAACAATCGTCATTTCATTTCGAATTCAATTAAAAAAAAAAAAAATGCACAAAATTGAAAAAGTGCTCCCGTATAGTCACAGTCTAAACGCATTTGCAAATAATTCTGTGCGACATTTTCACTTATACTGTGCTTAGCTTGGCGGCATTTTCACAATTTTCAATAGTTTTTTCACAAAATTGGAAAAGTGCTCCAGACATAAATAGTCTAAACGCACTTGGATAAACATTTGTACCAGACTGGCGCTTAGACTGTGCTTAGCCTGGGTGATTTTTTTATTTTTTTAATCCAAAATTACAAAAATATTTTATGGAAAATAAAAAATGATGTAATATTTTTCTATCCTCAAAAGAAAATGTTTTGTCAATACAAGCAGAAAGTTTTTTAGATCATTCAAATCGGACGCTTAGTTCACTCAAAAACTGCCATTTTTTGCACATTTAGCTCCGTATCTCCGAAATGGCGGGACCTGTCTTTGCCAAAAACTAATAACCTCTTGTCCCAATCATCACAAATTGAATGTTATTTAGATCATTCAAATCGGATACTCCGTTCTCTCAAAAACTCGATTTGTATTTTCTGCACTCTTTGCTCCGTATCTCCGTAACGGCTGGACCTGCCTTTGCCAAAAACTAATCAGCACATCTCCCTATCAAATTATATCCCTATTCAAATCCATTGATCCGTGCGCCCGAAAACGTGAACGAAAAAATGCGGACATACAAAACACACACACATACACACACGCATCCATTTTTTTTGAGGTATGCCAGTAAAATGTTCAGAAACCTTCAAAACGTCGAGAAATGCAAAAGTTTTCCGTTTCGATTTTCCAGCCCATTACTATAACTACCCTACGGAAAGTTAATTAAAATAAAACCACAGTAATCTATTATAAAAATATATTTATACGATTTATTTCTGCACATTGCTGTGAGTTTTTTGATAAAAGCTCATGCCAATAGATGGGATTGACATCTAAGGCATATTTATTTATTTATTTATTTATTTAACAATATAATAGGTTGTCAAATATCTCCCTTCCGCCTTTTTGTATTATAAACCAAGAGCAAAAAAGCGGAAGGGAGATATTTGACAACCTAATAATTACATTCTAAAGTGTACAAATTATAATTATTAATAAAGTAAATAGTAATAATTATAATTATTCATTATCATTTCCTTTATTTGTTTTCTTTTCCTGTGCAACTTTTGCAACATAATCGCTAAAAACTCTCAGTCCGACGAAAGTTTCCTTAACCATCGGCTTGATCAATTCCGGGGGGTAGTCGAATCCGTGCTGGCCGCCCCCGGGGAGCTCCCAAGTCAAAGACATCGGTATTTTTGCGACGCCCCAACCGTAGTCGTTGCTCACGCCGGCGGCATAGTACAAAAGATGGGCAGTGCTTCCTACGGTGTATTTAGAGCCGGTGGAAGCTGTAATCGCGTCGGAGACGGCATGTCCTAATTTGAGCATCTCGTCGTACTTTGGAGGCAGGTCTTTGGTGTGTCCCCAGGGGGTTAACAACCAGTTACCGTAACTAGAAAAAAATAATAATTACTAGCTGTAAGTGGAATTCTGTCTTAAGGCAATTAAGGGGTTAGGGGTACTTGGAATTTTTGAAAAATCGATTTTAATTTTTTTGCATTTTTATTAAGTGTAATATCTTGAAAATGTTCTCTGAAAATTTCAAGTTGATCCGATGATTACTTTTTGAATTATTGGACTCTTACCAGCGTGTTGACGCAATTGGAGAGCTCGATACTGATACTCAAGATTAATCTCTCTCACCTCCTGATGTTTTAAAAGCGTTTAAACCGATTTACGACAATCTCAGCAATGATAATTTACTATCAAGATGTGAAGTTCAAGATTGAATCCATAATCAGAAAAAATTAAAAGCTTCAACCAACTAGTGTAAAAAATATGCCTAAAAACCGTGAATACTAGTTCTACTATCGTACAAATTGCTGAATGCATATACATAATCATTATTATTGATTATGGATACCCTACGACCTAATTGTGGGTATAATTCCCTTTGGTATGCTGAAAAATTGGATGCTGCACGTGTGAAAGTGGCAGATCAGCGCGCCAACGAAAACACTCTGGAGGCCAGAATGCTTCGTAGGCAACAGCAAATGGAAATTTTGGAAACTTGCACAATGACCGATGAACTATTATATGGCCCAGAAATAGATGACTCGGTTCAAGTAATTCAATATTTCGAATTTCTGTACGTAAATCCAATGTGAAACTTTAAACGCGTTTTTCTCAAAACTATGTTTTTTGAATCGGTGACCACTGTAACTCAAAAACCGCTTAGTAGATTTTAATGAAATTTGTACAGTTTTTGGAATACATAAAAAACTCGTGCCTGATCGAAGGATTTTTATTTTTTCAAAAATTTGAATTTTTTAAGACCAATTAACTGTTGATTTTTTACCCAAAAATCTAGATTTTTTCTTTCTGATGCTGCCATTTTGTTAATTTTTGCAAAAACAAGAAAACCTTCGATCCGGCCCGGGATTAACTATTCATAAAACTATTTTTTCAATTTGATTGATTTTAGATGAATCTCCAAGGAGTTATGATGGTCACCGCCAGGACCGTTTTTCGAAACAGGGTCAACAAAAACAGCTATAACTTTGGGAATATTAATTTTTTTTTTCTGAAATTTTTGTTACATCAAGTCAAAACATTGTATAATAATGCTGTATTAATATTTTTGTAAAAAAACATCGTTTAATAACAAAAAAAAAATACTGAAAACACTCATTTTTTCGTGCCTGCAAGTACCCCTAACCCCTTAAGGCATCGTGCCTTAAGGCAAATTGCTGGAACTTCCCGTACCAAAAATTATTATTTTTTTTAAAAACGATTAACATTTTTGAAAAAAATTTACTTCGAAAAAATTAGATTTTTGAGAAAATATAAATTTGACAAAAAATTACTTTTTTTGAAAAAAAAAATTTTTTTGAAAACAAAATTTTTTTGAAAAAAAAAATGTTTTTTTCATTTTGACATACTTTGGAAATTCTGAACTGTTTTTCAAAGCAATCGTACTGCTTTATCTGCATAGAGACAAAATGTCAAAGCGCGCAACTGCCGCGCCGTCATCTAACGCAGGGCTTCTTAAACTTTTTTATATAGCGACCCCCTTCAAGCTTAGGAAATTTTAAACGACCCCCTACTCCATGTAATAAAATATATATTATCCGTAGATGTAAATGTAATATCGCACTATTTTACGACGTAAATAAAATAAGGATTAAAGAATTTGTACCTATTCATGTCACATATATATATATATAATTGGAAACGATGACATAAAACTATATATTATATATATATAATATATATATATATATATATATATATTCAACAGAAAAAATAAACTTTTGGAACAAGTTCTTTATAAGAAAACATAAAACTACATCTATATAATCAATAGCAAAAAGAAACTTTTGTAACATTTTTTTAATGAAAACATATTATTAACATGAAACAATATATTAAAGTGACGGATGTGATTGTGTATTTTTACACAAATAATTAAATCTAGGCTTAATTTGAGTTAGTGCAGATCGTAATAAATTTTCAACGTTTATTAAAGTTGAACGGTATTTTGATTTTATGTAAGTTAATGTGGAAAAGGCTGATTCACATAAATATGTTGCACAAAATGGTAATAATTTGTTTATTGCCATTTCCGATAGTAGGAGATATTCTGATTTGATTTCTATATAAAATTCATGCATAGGCACTTGAAAAAATCTGAGTCTGTACTGGTAGTATCACTTGTTAATTCGGCAAATTTTTCTTGTGTTTTTAAGTTTAAAAAATTAATTTCTTCCATTTCAATTGAAAATGGATTGCAAATCCATTGTTATGTATCGATATCATTGGGAAATGATTAACTATAATTTTTGTTATAGGAGTATCTTTTTTTGAAATATTGTTATTATTTATGTACTCGTTAGTAAATGGAAACATTTCGAGCGATCCACCTTCCACTCTGTTTTTCCATATAAGAATTATTTTAACAAAGGCCTCAAGTTTGTTTTTTAACATAAACATATTAACGCAGACTCCCTGCATTGATAAATTCATATCATTGATTTTATCAAAAATATCGGCCAAATAGCATAGCTTGAGAAGCCATAAATTATCGTGAAAATAATCGCCTAATAATACTAATTTTAAAATTTTGTTTATAATGATTGAAAAGTATCAGATCTTGGCAACCCCTCTCCAGTAGTCCCGCGACCCCCCTGGGGGTCGCGACCCCCACTTTAAGAAGCCCTGATCTAACGGATAAGCATTGGTACGGAACCCATAAAAATGTAAAAAAAATTATACTTATTGTTAAAATCTTTATAAAATATCTGATAATTTTATGTGCATATGTCTAATGATCATTTTTGACCGCCAAATGGCATTTTTTTTTACTTTTATCATTAGATCTCCGAAACCGCTAGACCTGCCTTCATGAAAATTTGATCAATTCTTCATCTTGTCAATACAAGTAAAATGTTTTTTGAATTATTAAAATCGGACGCTCCGTTCTCTTAAAAACTAAGTTACCGTTTTCGGCACTTTTTGCCCCGTATCTTCGAAACGGCTAGACCTGCCTTCGCCAAAAACTAATCAGCACGTCTCCTTATCAATACGAATCGAATGTTTTTTGAAAAATTCAAATCAGTTGATTGGTGTTCCCGAAATCGTCGACGAAAATTTGTATCCGCACATACATACACACACGCACACACACACACACACACACACACATACATCCATTTTTTCTAAGGTATGCCAAAATATTCAGAAACCTTTGAAACGTCGAGAAATGCAAAAATTTTCATTTTCGATTTTTTTGCGATTACTATAACTTGCCCTACGGGAAGTTAATAATAATTTGTTGAGAATTGTGTTCTTTATAATTATAAATATTAGTCACAAGTAAATTCATTTGAACGATGTATAATCCCAAGTAACGGTAAATGTTGCGAATATTTTGTACATATGCAAGACAACCCTTAATAAAAGTTTATGATAGCTCATGTACCCTCGGCGAGCTATCATAAAACTAGAAATATTGGAAATATTTTAAAAATATAAAATAAAAAATCAGTTAGTCCTGAACTGTTGAACAAGTAACAACTAAAATATTATAATAAAGCGCTAAATAAATTTTTGTATCTAAATAAATTCTTTGATTTCACACACTTCCAGAAGAGCTACAAATGTTCCCATTCTCATCGTTAAGTATTCCAAATAAAACTCTAATCTACTCAAGAAGTTATTAAAAATTGGTTACATTTAATCATTAATTAGTAAATTCATTACTAACGTCTCTTCAAATTATACAAATCTTATATATAAAAATGGAGCTCTCGATAAAATGATCCGCTAAAACTCGAAAACGGCTAAATCGATTTGGCCAGTCTTAGTCATGAAAAATTCGTGCTAATCAGTAGGTGGTCGGAAAGGTGAGATATTATTTCAAAGTCGCTTTACATTTTAATTTGAATATTTTTGTAGAACCGAAATTTGAATAAAACAATGGACGGTGGCTAATACGTCAAATGTCAAATGTTTTGGACAAATGATGTTCAATTACGTTTAATAGGATGTTTTACGTGAAACAGTTATGAAATTCTAGTATGTTATTTCTTAATGTGTGTACTGAATTATAAAAATATAAAATCATACATGTTTCTAACAGAAGAAACTAAAAAATTACATATTCTATTTTTATTAGTTGTGAATCGACAGTTGGATATGATATGAGTACTTTTAATTTTTTTTTTTAAAATATACAATATTATACTAGAGCTATAAAATTTCAGTATGTTATTACCTAATATATGTACTCAATTATAAAAATATAAAATCACATATGTTTCTAACGAAAAAAAGTTAAAAATGTGCAATTTTGTAAACAAATGCACTCTTGCAATAGTCCACGGTTTGATGAGTATTTTGAAAAATACTTAAAAATATAAAACGTTATACTAGAGTTACAAAATTTTATTATGTTATTTTTTAATATGTTTACTAAATTATAAAAATATAAAATCATACATGTTTCTTACAAAAACAGCTATAAATTTGCAATTCAGTAAAATCATGTAATAGGGCCGCAAGTACAAACTCAACAATATCAACATTTTTAAAATGTCAATTCTCAGTGCTCTGAAATACCTCATTTGTATAATTATATACTCATTGGTATTTATAAAACATTTTCTAGGTTATATTATTTTTTATTTATGTTATTTAAATTCAGAACTTAACTTTGGTACTATCAAATTGACATTTTGTCCAATAACATTTTCCCAGTTATAATTTCCCCAGAATTTATCGAAGAATAGATAGTAATATATGAAGGTCCGGGGTTAAAAATGTCCACCGCCGATGTGTCAAAAACCAGTACAGTTAAGCATTGTTTAACAACAATATTTGAAAGTAGAGGGAAAAAGATGTATAACCAGCTATAACCTTGATTCTCAAGACTTTGCTATCGGGAGATAAACGATAATCTTTGAAAATCCATAATAAAAGTTACCAATAATAAAAATTTTCTTCCGTTGGTAGTTTTTGAACATTAGTTAAAAGTGTAACTATTTTGTGAAATACCTTTAAAATTAAAATAAGATATTAAACCTGTTTGCCACCTGGCCGTTCCAAGTTACCCCGTCTATAGGGTAAAAATATCTAGATAACGAATTTTTGAAAAACATCAAAAAAGCACATTTTTCCAATGATGAAATAGCTGGCAATTTTACTGAACGTAGTCAGATATAATTGTTCGTTTGAAATGTGTCATAAAAAATAATATAACCTTGAAAATGTTTTATAAATACCAATGAGTATATAATTATACAAATGGGATATTTCAGAGCACCTTGTTTGAGAAAAATATGATCTGCAAAAATTGCATTTTCATATTAACATTTCAAAAAAGTTGATATTGTTGAGTTTGTAGTAACACTTGCGGCCCTATTACATGATTTTAGTGAATTGCAAATTTATAGCTGTTTTTGTAAGAAACATGTATGATTTTATATTTTTATAATTTAGTACACATATTACGAAATAACATACTAGAATTTCATAACTGTATTCACGTAAAACATCCTAATTTCACGTAAACATCCTAACGTAATTGAACATCATCTGTCAAATACGTTTGACATTTGACGTATTAGCCACCGTCCATTGTTTTATTCAAATTACGCTTCTAGAAAAATGTTCAAATTAAAAATGTAAAGTTTCTACGTGATTTTGAAATAATATCTCACCTTTCCGACAACCTACTGATTGGCACGAATTTTTCTAAGACTAATAATGGCCAAATCGGTTTAGCCGTTTTCGAGTTTTAGCGGATGATTTTATCGAGAGCTCCATTTTTATATATGAGATATCAGTGTCATTTATCCTTACGTGTGCAATGAGATGTAGAGTTCGGTTCTTGGGCCGTATTTTTTGAGAAGGTCACTCACAACACGGACTTCGGGTTCTGAAGTGGCACTTGGGCCACTGTAGGTCTCATCACAGGGCCTAGAGTTGCCGCCGGTTGCCATCCAGTTGTAGTCGTAGTTGCGGTTGCCGTCGACGCCGACGCATTTGGGGTCGCTGGTTAGGCTTCGGGTTTTTCTCCAAAGACGAACCTAATGGAGACAAATTTGTTAAAAAAATGCGGGAAATGAAACTAATGGGGCAATTCTGTCGTAACAGAGCTCATAAAATAGCGTAAAATCATATGCTTGTTCTTGGTATTGAAAATTATGAAAATGTCTATCTATTTGCTGTGCGATCACGCGTATTTCACATATAGATACAGCAAGGAAAAATGTTATAATAACTGCACCATCTAGAATTTTGTTTGCATAACATTCATCCTTACTTGTTTATATGTAAAATAGGCCTAATCGCACAACAAATAGATAGCCAATTTTTACATATTTACTAACAAGAAACAAGCATAAGAGAGCGAGGCCATAACAACGCTATTTTATGACCATTGCAGAATTGTACCATAATACTAGTTTTGAATTAACTAAAGAAATTGGCGGCGAACTTTTTTTTTTGGGCTAGTGTTTTTTCTATTTATTCGATAGTTATTTTTTGTTGACCATAAGTATTATTTTATGTTACTTAATTATCATCATTTTTTTTATAAAGTCTACGTGTATGTATGTGTATGTATTTATGTACTTATATGTGAATGTGCATATATGTGTACGAGGTCTGTTCAAAAAGTTTTCGTAATTTTCGTTTTTTCCAAAAAATATTTATTTATTCATCTACATTAATGTGGTCCCCTTCAAAGTAGTCCTCCCCAGATATAATACACTTATGCCAGCGTTTTTTCCAATTTTCGAAGCACCCTTGATATTCACTTTTTGATATGTCCTTGAGCACTCTCGGCGATTTTCTTCAATCGAGGAAAACCGCCGTCCTTTCATGGGTCTCTTCAACTTTGGGAATAGGAAAAAGTCACACGGAGCCATATCTGGTGAATTTTTGCACTTTGCAACACTTTATTTCATTTTTTACGCAAAATTTAATACAAATTCTTTGACTTTTCAATTCTTCCATTGTAAAAATCGCCGAGCTCAGAAAAACACGTCGAACCTTAGCGACTACCACAGACAAAGTAAACAGTGAATATAGCTGAAAATTTCATCATACTTTAGGGGCATGTATACCAACACAATAAAAAAAAAATTTTGACAATCAGACACTCCAGACCCGCGAAATTTAATTATTAGTAATTCCGGGTACTTTTTGAACACACCTCGTATATAGTTGCACAGAACGTTTGTAGAATGTATTTAATTTGATTAAGATAGTTTTGCCCTTGATGGTGGGCAGTAGTTTAGGAGACCTTCAGTAAGTGTAATCCCTTTGGAAGATTGTTATTTGAAGACAATTTTTAATTAACTTCCTGTAGGTTTCTTAACATTTTGGCATATCTTAGAAACAATGACTGTGTATGTATGGATACAACATTTTGTCCACGTTTTCGGGCGCACGGATCATCCGATTTGAATGATTCTCAAAAACATTCGATTCCTACTGATAGGCAGATGTGCCGATTAGTTTTTGGCAAAGGCAGGTCCAACCGTTACGGAGATACGGAGCAAAGAGTGCAGAAAATACAAATCGAGTTTTTGAGAGAACTGAGCATCGGATTTAAATAATTAAACAAATATTCAATTTGTAATGATGGAGAGGTGGTGATTAGTTTGTGGCTAAGGCTGGTCAGCAGTTTTGGAGATACAGAGCTAAATGTGTAAAAATGGCAGTTTTTGAGTGTACTAAGCGTCCGATTTGAATGATCTAGAAAACTTTCTGCTTGTATTGACAAAACAATTGCTTTTGAGTATAAAAATTATTACAACTACAATTTACAATTTTTTTTATTTTCCATGAAATATTTTTGTAATTTTGGATTAAAAATTCAAAAAATTACCCAGGCTAAGCAAAATGTGAAAATGCCGCCAAGCTAAGCACAGTATAAGTGAAAATGTCGCACAGAATTATTTGCAAATGCGTTTAGACTGTGACTATACGGGAGAACCTTTTCAATTTTTTGTAAATTAGGCAACTATTTTATTTTTTGAAAGTGAATTCGAAATGAAATGACGATTGTTTATGTTCTGGAGATAAATTGATCTATGATTTACATTTGATTTGCTCACTCAGATATAACATGATAGCAAAAATAATGAAAGTTACAGTATTTATAATAATATATTTGAAAACGTTTAAAATTTCTCGAATATTTTATTATGGTACGGGAAGTTCTAGCAATTTGCCTTAAGGCACGATGCCATACATCACTAGTTTTTTTTTAATTTCCAAAAAATATTTCTTTTTGAATATTTTAATTTTAATTCTCTCTAGCTAAAGTTCTATAACTTACTTATATACTTGATGTATGTAATATCAACTTTGCAATTTACTTTAAATAATTCTTAGAAATATGAGATAAGGTCCTGCAATTTTAACACCGCTTGATTAAGTTTTATTTATTTAATGTTGTAATATGTAATTTTCATGTAAACATTTATTAACGTTGTCTTCTAATTTATAAGCTCTTACATTTTGTTTGTAATATAAGAATAATGAAAGTTACAGTATTTATAATAATATATTTGAAAACGTTTAAAATTTCTCGAATATTTCATTACGGTACGGGAAGTGCCAGCAATTTGCCTTAAGGCACGATGTTATACACCACTAGTTATTATTTGATTTTTGAGTTTATTTAATGCAATGATAGATGTTAGTACGGTCAGTTTCGTATCTTATTAAAAGGATGGAACCCAAACTCAAATTATAAGTTGATCGTTTTCTTTGAAGTATAGAATTAATATTTTGTTTTATAATAAAATTGACAAATATCTAATTTGCCAATATTTTGCAAAAAATGGCGTCAAATTTATCCAAATTCAAAAGTTTAGTCAAGTTGGCTCTACGCACATAAGTATAACACAGATGTAAAAAAAAATCGTAAAATTTCTATAAAAAATCATAAAAAAATGCTATAAAATTGATAAAATCAAAATGAGTGAGTCTCTATCCGACGTGGAACCTCCGCCAAAATGGAGTTTACCAACAGGCAACAAAAATGTTCATCTCACCCTGGACTATTTTGATTTCCTACCAACAATGTACGCAGACCAACATCCGATACCAGTTATGCGTTACACCTGGTGTACCAGAAATCGGATGTCGGTGCAATTAATTAATTACGGCTCAACCATCACCTCCATCAAGGTTCCAAATTGCAAAGGGCACGTCCAGGACGTTATTATGGGTTTCGATGATATTTATTCGTACCTAGATGACCAGAACAAGTATTTCGGAGCCACTTTAGGACGGGTTGCGATTTTGTGAAATGCAGTAGATATTGGCATAAACAGCAGGTTTTTCCCTTGTCGGCCAACCAACCACCGCATCATTTCAACGGCGGTTGGTACGGGTTTGATAAAAATTTGTGGGAGCATCACAATGATGGTGCCAAAGTGACAATGTCTCTGGTGTCTCGTGCTAATTCCGAAGGCTATCCTGGTAATTTAATAGTGAATATATCGTACGAAGTGACAGCAGCCAATTGTTTGATAGTCGATATGTCAGCAAGTACAGATGCAGTTTGTCCCTTAAATTTATCCAACGAATTATTTTTTAATCTAGCTGGTCATGGTGCAGGTCCAGGCATGAACTATAAGCATATTATTACAATTAACGCTGAATGCTATACTCCTTTGAACAAAAAATTTATACCAACTGGTGAAGTACATCATGTCGGCGGAACTGTTTTGGATTTTAGAGTACCACGCACACTTGGCATCATGATGAAGAAAATAAACGATGGGTATAATCATAATATGTGTCTTAAAGATTGTAGCGATGATAGGATTTTGAGTGCTGCCAAGGTGTATCATCCAGACACCGGACGGATAATGGAGATTTATACAGACCAACCTTGTTTGAGGTTCCATACAGCAAATTTGTTACCAAAATCTGCATCGGGTGGTCTGGAAGATGATAAGCTTGATGCAGATTTTGCAGAAACTGGCTCGAAATTGGCTAAGAAAATAAAAGCATCGCAAACTGAGAGAGCCTCGTATGCAAAACAGTTTGGTGAAATTATTGATGAAAGCGAGGAATTAAAGTCGGAGACACAGAAAGACTTAGAATCGCCCTTGGTGCCTTCGGCAAATGGAGAACAAAATGTAGTTACCGAAGGTACCAAAGGCCAAAGTGTTAAAGCCGGAGGTAAACAACAACAAGCAAATGCTGAGGAAAAAACTGTATTATCAATGGGTGCTGATCATGATTTGCATGGTGATTAACAAGACATGCTGATCATGGTAGACCCATAGAACAAAAACGTGGTGCAACAGGTTTGACAATATAACAGGCGAACCCTTACAGCCACTTCCACGAGGTGTACCTTGCACCCAACAATGCCCTTGTGCATTACCAAAAGACGCAGGGCAAAAATTACAAGAGACCACAGAATTCCTGGAAGACGGTACTTTCCCCGGAGGCGCCAAAGATGGGACTTTTGCCTCAGGTGCACAAGTGCAGGCCAAAGAGGTGAATTTACGCGAGATGGTAAAAGACGAGTTGAAGGTGCTGAAGGTGATGAAGGGTTTGATGAAGCTGAAGGTTCGATTTCCAAACGCGACAGGACTGGTGATAAAACTGCTGGCGGCAAAAAAAGTACTGATATACAAGATGAAGTCGTCGATGCCCGTAAACAATGGACTGATGATTGGGGCGATGAAGATCTTGCAAGCACAGATCGTATGAAAAGCATTTCTGGTAAAGCCGGCATCCCGGGGCAAGATGCCCGGGTTACAACATTTTCTACGACCAAGGAGTTGAGAGGAAAACACGGTGCAAAGTATGTGAAACATGGTGCTTTTGTGATGCAGTCTCAGAGTTATCCGAATGCTCCGAACCAGAAGAATTTTCCGGCGATATGGTTGAGACCTTTTGAGGATTATAAACATAGGATTATTTATAAATTTGGTATCAAATTTAAGCCGGATGAGGAGCCGTCGGTTCTTCAAGCTGGAACACAAACGGAAGATGTCTTGACGATCACTTCTTCGTTTTCTTCTACATGCCTGGCGGCGCAGTTTGATTAGTTTGATATGGAAACTTATTTAAAATAAATTACATTAGAATTTTGATTGAGTAGTTTTTAACTTCAAGGAGAAATTTATGTTTTTACGAAAAATCCGATTTGATAATTTTATGTTTTTTCGACGGTTCAAGCCATTCTGAATCGAATGAGACCAAAAATTAGAAAATGTATGTGTATGTGTGTGTATATGTGAACAGATTTTTTGCCGTAAATCGACGTTTGCTCAAATACGGCTGGACCGATTTCAAAAATTTAAAAGCCATTCGATGTATCTCTGACTATTATTATATTGATTATTATATTCGATGTATCGATGACTAGAGTTTATTAAATTTGCGCGACGATCAGCCAAGCCGTTTCTTTGTAAATCGCAGAAAAGTGAAAAAAATTTTTCTACCTTTTAGCCCGCAATTCTGAATCGATTTTGAAAATTCAAAAACTGTTTGAAAGATATAGGTAGGGAATCGTGCTGATTAGTTTCAGGTAAAGGTCGACCGAGCCGTTTTCTTGTAATTAACTGTTTTTTCGACGATTTTTATGATTTTTATTTGACGGTAGATACCATAGTCTTCTAGATTATACTAAAATATTACGGCCCTACGACAAGTCGTTTAGCTTTAAAAATTCGTCAAAGTTTGCAAATGATGATCTTCTCGACATTTGTCAAAATTAGAATTTTAGAGAGATAGTCAAAATTTGTGTCAAAAAACGCTTTTGCGATGAGTTTAAATTTAAAAATCACAAATTTGAAGGCTATTTTTTGCAATCGGATAATTAAGTCTACAAAACTTATTTATTTGTGTAAAAAATGTTACCATTAATATAAATCGTTAAATAATATCAGGGATTGCGTACATGCTTACGTAATCGTGCAGTTGAACTAATTTTATCTACAAATCCAAATTTCAATTTCTGTTGATTAAGTCAATTATTACACATTTCTGGAAGTTTATGCAACTTGCCTTAGGGCAATTTACCTTAAGGCAAAATGTCTCTTTCAACTAGTTTCTTTTTTTTTTGGGACAAATTTGAGAAATGGAAATTTCAATTTCTGTTGATTAAGTCAATTATTACACATTTCTGGAAGTTTATGCAACTTGCCTTAGGGCAATTTACCTTAAGGCAAAATGTCTCTTTCAACTAGTTTCTTTTTTTTTTGGGACAAATTTGAGAAATGGAAAGAAATACTGATATTTACATAGCTGTGTCTATTAGCCGACATTTAAGAAAACCGGTTTTCGAATTTTAATTTTACTAAAAAACCAGTTTTAGCCGGTTTTCGAATTTTATATAGAAAATAAATTTTTGCTCGAATATTATGTAATTTATCCGCAAATTTAGTGTGATTTAGCGCAGTATTTGAGTGAATTGAATATTAAATAACTTTGGAAATAATTATTCGTTATTCATGCATCATTTTCACATATAAGAATGAAAGTATTTTTATGATAGTGAAAGGAAAGTTTTCAAGTAAATAAAAATAATACATTTTTAAATAAAAACATTCATTAAATTAAATATAATATATATATATATATATATATATATATATATATATATAGATACATGTTGATACATACTTGTTAATATCAATTTTAGTCTTAAAAATAATTAAGCTAAACTCGGGTATTGTCTGTTCCGAGCAATTTTAATTAATTAATTTTAAACGTTCTAATTGTTTGTTTGTTTAATAAAATATGATTTAAAAGAACTGAGAACATCTATCGAATTGCTACTTAGACGTGTCCTTTGTTTACTCACAAAATTTCCTGAAATAGAAAATACTCTCATACTTGCGACCGAATTATGCTTATTTTTTTTAAAAGCCTGATATGATAATCCAAGTTTTTTGTTCTTTAATTTGTTGCTTCTAGGGTTTAAAACTCTTTTTTTTTAAGTTTGAGAGGAAGTTACTTCTTCAAGAATAATGAGTCACACTGACTTAAATTAATATAAACACTGGTATAAAAATCTCAATTAATATATACAAAACCCTTCTGTGAACCATTGCAGACTGATAAGATATCAAATGCTAATGAACCGATATGATTCTAAGAATCAAAACGCTTTCATCTGTCATTTACATTTGCCTATATTTGTCATTTTCCCCATTTATACAGTGAAACCCGACTTTTTTCACTAAAAACCGGTTTTCGAATTCCATAATTTTTGCCAGAAAACCGGTTTATGAAAACCGACAAATCCTAATTAGCAGGTTGTGTAACTTTTTGATATATGAATAATAAAAATCTATCCAGTCTTCAAAATAGAATGTTTAAAAGTTTCAACAGATTTTATTATTATTATTATTATTACTTACGTTCGTGTGCGAGTATTCATAACCATCAGGATTGACGACAGGTACAATGTACCAATCAGCATGCTCCAGCATATCCTTATTTTGCTCATAATTTTCAACTAATTGGTCAATTATATACAAGGCGAATGCAGGAGTTGACCATTCCCTGGCATGTATACAGGCGTCAATAAAAACTAAGGGTTTTGTGCCATTTCCGACGCCATTTGATATCTTTATCATCTTCATGACACGATTTTCATAACTTCTGCCTACTTGTTCTACTTGAACCAATTGCGGGTACTTCTGTGCCAGATCGTCGAGATATTTATTAATCTAGGAAATAATTGAAAATTAAATGAGTTTAAGTGAAATTAGAGGTGATCTTTATAATCTACTAGATGACCCAACAGACTTTGTCCTGTACCCACATCTACGTTTTTTCAATATCCAATACTAATATTTACCGTTCAGTTAAAAATAATAATTATTGATTTTCGAAATACTATTTACACCAATATATGAGTGATGTTAAATGTAGAACTGCTTCAAATAAAATGATCATTCTCAATTCCCACAGTTAACACTTTAATTATCCCTTTAACAAATATTAAAATATGTTCAATAAAATTGTATATAAAAAATTAGACACTGCAACTTATAGAACAAATTTATTCTCAATAGATTAATCTATTTTAATGCCAAGGGTTATACAATTATTTAGTCATACCTGTAGATGTGGATGTACAAATGAATAATTTTTTGTTTATTCACGACTAAAACATTGATTTTCTAAATTTATCACACGAAAAATCATCGTCTGCCTTTGTGATATATAGCATAAGATAATACGTATTGGAATTTGAAGTTTTTTAAAAGGTATAACAAATTCAGAAAGAATTAAAAAATAGCATTCACGGTAAAGGTACATTATCACCTTGGATTTTTCTACCCAAACTAATTGCTTCAATAATGTTGCCTATAATTTTTATAATTTCGTACCCTGGCTTTTAGTAATTTTAATATCTAAATTTCATTTTTCTCACCAATAATTCAATATACATAATTACTTAAGTTTATATTTGAAGTGAATTAATTCGTCAAATACTGTTCACATGTGCTCTATTCAACCTACGATCAACAAAATTATTGCAGAAAATTGAGAGGAAAAAGCATGTGCCCTGTGAATTTTTTTTAGTGCGCTTGAGTGATATTTTGGAAATAGGCTAATCTTAATTTTAAGTTCAGAAGTGAAAACAATTTGCACTCTGTGACCACCCGCCGCATTAATTGAATTATAATTCTGATTTTATCAGAACTTGAAATATACTTTTTTAAAAGTAATGGTAAATGGCAGTCTTTTCAATGCCAAACAATGCCTCAAATTATTTTAATGTTAATGAATAATAAGCGTTTTTTTATCATTTTTTCCATTTATATCTATATTTCTATAATTCAAACAATCCTAAAAAAATGCCATAACAAACTTCAGAATAATCGTTTAGGATGATTATCCTTTCATACACAAATACAGAAGAATTTTAACGCTCAAATTGATTCTACGTTTTAGTTAGAAAACGTTTGTATGTGAAAAAGAAAAAGGCTGTTTTTAGAATTTTTCCGGAAATTATTCGATTTTTTCTCGCCGTAAGAACCATTCTTGGACTTCAACGAATATTTTAGAAAAAGAATTGGCAAAATTGGTCTAGGCGTTGTTGATTTATGCGCTTACCAACACATTATTTTGCGATTTATTTTTATATTATAGATTTTGTTGTGATTAGTCTTACAGCATCGTGTCTGTGATAGTAATCGAATGATATCCTTCCTTCCCTGGTGTCCTTCTTGAATGCATTGGTCTGCTGTTGACGTTCTTTTTCAAATGATCTAAAAACATAAAATTAGAGGTATCTGTAAAAACATCTTTTTTATTGGAATCTACTAACAAATTTTTGTCCTTCAAATTCCAAACAATTGTGATAGAAGCAACTATGGGTATTTTATTATACAAGATGATTAAAGCGAAGTCAACTTTAAAGTTTTTACTATATCTCACCTCTCCAAGTCGTCAATCATTATTTCATGCCGGATTCCATATTTTGACCAGATTTTCAAAATTTCTTGCTCTTGGTCAGGTTGAACCATGACGACTGATGAATGGTGGGTGGTTCCACTGAATTTCCAGAAATCTAGACGATTGCGTAAGCTTGATAGTATCTGGATTTGGTCATCGTTTTCGGGGAACAATTCGTAAACTTTGTACCTGGATAAAAGAAATTTATTTATTTTTATTAACTTCCCGTAGGGTAAGTTATTGCAATCGTCCAAAAATCGAAATTGAAATATTTTGCATTTCTCGACTTTGTGAAGGTTTCTGAACATTTTACTGGCATACCTCAGAAACTAAATGGATGTGTGTGGGTGTGTTTTGTATGTCCACGTTTTTGGGCGCACGGATCAACCGATTTGAATGGTTTATAAAACATTAGATCCCTATTGATAGGAAGATGTGCTGATTAGTTTTTGGCAAAGGCAGGTCCAACCGTTACGGAGATACGGAGCAAAGAGTACAGAAAATACAAACCGAGTTTTTGAGAGAACGGAGTATCGGATTTGAATGATCCAAAGAACATTCGATTTGTAATGATTGGGAGAAGAGGTGATTAGTTTTTGGCAAAGACAGGTCCAGCCATTTCGAAGATACAGAGCTAAATGTGCAAAAAATGGCAGTTTTTGAATGAACTAAGCGTCCGATTTGAATGATGTAAAAAACTTTCTGCTTGTATTTACAAAACAATTGCTTTTGAGGATAAAAAATTATTACATCTTTTTTTATTTTCCATACAATATTTTTGTAATTTTGGATTCAAAATTCAAAAAATTACCCAGGCTAAGCACAGTCTGAGCGCCAGTCTGGTACAAATGTTCACCCAAGTGCGTTTAGACTGTTTATGCACTGGAACACTTTTCCAATTTTGTGAAAACTATTGAAAAATGTGAAAATGCCGCCAAGCTAAACACAGTATAAGTGAAAATGTCGCACAGAATTATTTGCAAATGCGTTTAGACTGTGACTATACGGGAGCACTTTTCAATTTTGTGTAAATTAGGCAACTTAGGTATTTTTTTGAAATTGAATTCGAAATGAAATGACGATTGTTGATATTCTGGAGATAAATTGATTTAGGATTTACATTTGATTTGCTCAGATATAACAAACAAGATAGCAAAAATAATGAAAATTACAGTATTTGTAATAATATATTTGCAACGTTTAAAATTTCATTACGGTGCGGGAAGTTCCAGCAATTTGCCTTAAGGCACGATGCCATACACCACTAGTTACTATTTTTTTTACTACTTACCCCGAATAACTTTTCTGCTCGGCAGCTACAAATGTAGCCAAAGCTGCTACAACAAATACTAAGCACTTCAGTTTCATGTTGGCGACTGATTTTGGAAATCGAATATTTTCCGTAAATATAATACATTTGGTTTTTATCTCGCGACATAATTTATTTTATCTCACAGAGATTATGAGTTATCTTCTGCAAAATGATTTGCTCAATCGGATAATCCGTGAAGGATTTTTCTGATAACGAGAATAATATTTATTGTTATTGATAAATGAATAATATTTGTCAAGTAAAAAAAATTGAAGGCATACTAAATAGCTGTTGAAAATTCTCAAGATTTTATTCTTTAAATTATATTTTTTAACTTCCCGTAGGGTAAGTTATAGTAATCGCAAAAAATCGAAAATGAAAATTCTTATATATGTTTACGTTTCAAGGGTTTCTGAACATTTTGGCATACCTCAGAAAAAATTGATGTATGTGTGTGTGTGAGTGTGTGCGTGTATGTATGTGTGTGCGGATACAAATTTTTGTCGACGATTTCGGGAACACGGATGAAGCGATTTGAATAATTAAAAAAACATTTGATTCGTATTGATAAGGAGACGTGCTGATTAGTTTTTGGCGAAGGCAGGTCTAGCCGTTCCAAAGATACAGGGCAAAATGTGCCAAAAACGGTAACTCAGTTTTTAAAAGAACGGAGCGTCCGATTTGAATAATTCAAAAAACATTTTACTTGTATTAACAAGATGAAGAACTGAACAAATTTTCATGAAGGCTGGTCTAGCGGTTTCCGAGATCTAGTAAAAAGAAGCAAAAAAAATGCCATCTGGCGGTCAAAAATGATCATTAGACATATGCACATCAAATTATCAGATATTTTATAGAGATTTTAACAATAAGTATAAATTTTGTTTACATTCCTATGGGTTCCGTACCAATGTTTATCCGTTAGACGGCGACGCGGCGCTTACGCGCTTCGATATTTCGTCTCTATGCAGTTAAAGCAGTACGATTGCTTCGAAAAAAAGTTCAGAATTTCCAAAATATTCCAAAATAAATTTTTCTTCAAAAAGTCTTGTTTTTTTTCAAAAAGAAAGTATGTTTTTGTCAAAAATTTATAGTTGCTCAAACATCGTATTTTTTTAGGGTAATTTTTTTTTGAAAAATGTGAAACTAGAAGTTCCAGCAATTTGCCTTAAAGCATGATGCCATGCGCCCCACTATTTATCTATTGTTTTATCATAATACTCGATTTTGTTATCTTAATAAGAAAATTGCTTGGGAAATTCTGGATTATTATCTTTTTGACTTGCATAAATATTTATATCGATAAGAAATCATCAATTTTATCGTTGACATGATCAATATTTATGTAAATAACTATTGTGAATTTAAGTGCTCTAATTCCAGGGACGTATTTTGTAGACAAATTATTATGTAATACAATGGGCGCGAATGAATTATGTAAGACTAGCTGACCCGGCAAACGTTGTTTTACTAAGTAAGGTATATTCTAAACAATTTCTAAAGAATCAAAAATATTAATACTTCAAGTATACAAGGATGTTTTGTTTGAATGCTATATAGTATATACAAAGAGGTATCATAAAAACAATAAACCCCATTAGTTTGTCTATATTTTGTCAATACAATCAAACTAGAAGTTTTATACACTTTCTACAGTAAAGTTTTTAAAATATGGTATAATCCAATCCAAATATTTTTTGGTCTTTCGACTTTGTGTATAATTGTAAACAATACTACTGAGCTTATAAAAAAATTTCAAATTTCTGCGATGAGAGATAAAAACTGAATTAAGTATTTTTTCTTTGACCTGCTCTTTGAAAAGTTTCAAGTAACATTCGATGAAAAAAAGTAAATTTAATAGAAAGTATATATGTAGAGCAGGGCGAGGCACAAAGGTCCAATTTGATCCAACTTTTTCCCTCTACTTTCAAATATTGTTGGTAAACAATGCTTAACTTTAGTGGTTTTTGACACATCGGTGGTGGACCTTTTTAACCCCGGACCTTTCATATATTACTATCTATTCTTCGATAAATTCTAGGAAATTATAACTGGGAAAATGTTATTCGACTAAATGTCGTTTTGATCGATACCAAATTTAGGTTTTGAATTTAAATAACATAAATGAAAAATAATATAACCTAGAAAATGTTTTATAAATACCAATGAGTATATAATTTTACAAATGAGATCTTTCAGAGCACCGTGTTTGAGAAAAATATAAGTTGATATTTTTAGTCTCTAATAACACTTGCGGCCCGTTCACTAACGTTTTTGTATATAAATAAAACTATAAACAAAACTACTTACTACAATTTAATCATAATTAGATAATATTCTCGTAAAACATTCTATTGAACGTAATTGAACATCATCTGTCAAAAACGTTTGCCATTTGACGTATTAGCCACCGTTCATTGTTTTCATTCAAATTACGCTTCTACAAAAAATTTTAAATTAAAAATGTAAAGTTTCTACGCGTTTTTAAAATAATATCTCACCTTTCCGACAACCTACTGATTAGCACGAATTTTTTAAGACTAAGACTGGTGAAATCGGTTTAGCCGTTTTCGAGTTTTACCGAATCATTTGATCGAGAGCTCCATTTTTATATATAAGATAAAAAAGAATTTAAAAGACGTCGACGTCAAATAAAATAATAAATATAATACAAAAACTAGTGGGGTGGGTGGCATCGTGCCTTAAGGCAAATTGCTGGAACTTCCTGTACCGTAACGAAATGTTCGAGGAATACTGAATGTTTTCAAATAGATTATTATAAATATTGTAACATTGTCTAATATTTATAAGACTTATATAAACTGAATTGCTAAGTTGAAATTATTTGTTTAAAGTATATTAGAACTATAGTCAGAATTAAAAATAAAATCTGAATTATTTTCGATATACAAAAAATAAAAAAAAAAAAATTGAAACAAAAATTTTTTTTCCAAAATCAATTATTTTGTTAAGACAAGCAGAAAGTTCTTTGAATCATTCAAATCGGACGCTTAGTTCTCTCAAAAACTGTCATTTTTTACACATTTAGCTCTGTATCTCCGAAACCGCTGGACCTGCCTTTGCCAAAAACTAATCATCCCTTCTCCTAATCAGTACTAATTGAATGTTTTTTAGATCATTCAAATCGGATGCTCCGTTCCCTCAAAAAGTCGATTTCTATTTTCTGCACTCTTTGCTCCGTATCCTCGAAACGGCTGGACCTGCCTTTGCCAAAAACTAATCAGCTCTTTTCCCTATCGATAGGATTCGAATGTTTTTTGAACCATTCAAATCGGTTGATCCGTGCGCCCGAAAATGTGAACGAAAAAATGCGGACATACAACACACACACACATCCATTAGTTTTCTGAGGTATGCCAGTAAAATGTTCAGAAACCTTCAAAACGTCGAGAAATGCAAAAATTTCCATTTTCGATTTTCGGCCCATTACAATAACTTACCCTACGGGAAGTTAATAAAAGCAAATAATAATAAAAAATAAAATTAATAAATAATATAAATAAAGTTTCTGAATAATAAAATAATACTAGAAAAACAAGATAATAATAATAATAATAATAATAAATAAAACACAAAAACAAGCTGTCCATACTCGAATGAAATATAAATATGAATATTATATTTAACCAATAACTCAATTATCCTTTCCCAGATATGTGACTCCCAGCGCCATTTAACGACCAAGCTCCTTCCCAAACGTGCAGCCCGAATCCTGCGATCGACTCTAGAAGAACTCTACCAGCGTTTGCGCGAAGAACACATCAGTGTGACGACGAATCATGTCAATTCGACCGTCTCTACGAATTGCGAACCCACCAACAGCCTGGACAGAGATTTCCAGAGGCGGCGCAGGGAGCAGCAGACGGAGCACGAGATCCAGGAGGCTTTCCTGAGATTCATGGCGTGCGTTCTGAAAGGATACAGGGCTTATCTGATACCCATAACTAGGGCGCCTACGGTTGGGACGACGGATCCGCAGGCGCTGTTTCAATTGGCGGCGTTTCTGAGGTCAAGGGATAAGGTAAATGAAATTTATTAAATTACCGAAGAAGTTTATGTTTTCATAAAAAAAATCGAATTGCAAATTTTATGTTTTCTCGACGTTTCAAGCCATTCGCCAAATGTTTCGCATCTGTTGAACTTTGAATGTTGAGAACATGCGTGGAACAAATATGAAAAATGGAAGCAAAATTTACTTTGGAACGAAAATCTTAAGGCTTGTTTTATACCTAGTGGTGTCATATTCTAAATTTAATAACTATTAACTATACAGAAATAATACATATCAAATTAAATAAGTTTTTTTTCCAATATTGTTCAAGAAATGTGTAATTTCTTTGCATTTTTTACTGATTTTTTACTGATTTTTTACTGATTTTTCACTGATTTTTTACTGATTTTTGAACAATACTTCTAAAATGCGTTAAAAATTTAACTTTAAAACAACAGACTGATACTCTGAATATGACGGCTCTTACGATATCGATAAGGAGAAGTTTACGACGCAATTTTGGATATTGTAAATGATGAAAAATTAAATTAAATTAAAGTTTAAAAAATCCAACATGAAATACGAGTGTTTTGTTTGAAAATTAAATGCTAGTTTTTTTTTAAATATTAATATTGCACATACGTTAAAAATAATTGAAAATTTCAAAATACTTGATTATAATCGTCCCCTGAATTGCCTCGATTTTCTAAATAAATTTAAAATCAATATATTTTATACGCTTTTAGATCATATCTAATTTTTTGTGCACTAAATCCAGAATAATTAAAAATTAATTTATTTATTTCAGAAATAATATCAAGATCTTGATATCAAAATAATAAATACTATTTCTGAAATGCATTTCTTAAATTCTATAACTTTAATTTAACAAAAAGATTAATTTTTTTGCTATGGTAGTCGAACTTACATTCTTAACCAATTTACTACATATTGAATATTACTAAAATGTGAAATTATGACAGGGATTGTTTTATTTATTGATATCGATAATAATAAATAAATTTAAAATCAATATATTTTATACCCTTCTAGATTATATCTTATTTCTTGTGTACTACATCCAGAAATAATAAAAATTAATTTTTAAAGAATATGTAAATATTCATATAATTTTAATGATAAACTGTTGAAACGGTGAAAATTAATAGGATCTATTAATAGAATTAATAAGACGATCATCCAAGCCGTTTCTTTGTAAATCGCAGAAAAGTGAACAAATTTTCGTCCACGTTTTAGCCCGCAATTCTGAATCGATTTTGAAGATTCAAAAGCCGTTCGAAAGATATTGGTTGGAAATCGTGCTGATTAGTTTTTGGTAAAGATCGACCAGGCCGTTTTCTTGTGATAAAGTGTTGAAAAAAATCGACAATTTCTATGATTTTTTTTTTGACGGTAGATACCATAGTCTTATAGATCATACTAAAATATTACGGCACTACGACAAGTTGTTTAGTTTTAAAAATTCTTCAAAGTTTGCAAAAATTCATATCGTTTTTATGGCATTTGTCAAAATTAGAACTTTCATTGACGTTTGCTCAAAAACGCCTGAATCGATTTCAGAAATTTAAAAGCCATTTATCTCGATGAGGATTATCGTTTCTCAGTTTTGTGCGACGACCGGCTCAGCCGTTTCTTTGTAATTTCGAGTGTTAAACTTTTCGTCTACATTTAAGCTCAAACCGAATCGATATTAAAAAATCAAAAACCGTTCGAAAGATATTAGTTGGGAATGATACTGATTAGTTTAAGATGAAAATCTACTGAGCCGTTTTCTTGTAATTAATTGTTGAAAAAAAAAAAATTAAGTCGATTTGTATGGAACGTTTTTTGGCGATATATATCATGGTCTTATAGAACTTACTGAAATATTACGGCCTTGCGACAAGTAGTTTAATTTTAAAAATTTATCGAAGTTTAAGAAAATGAGTACATTTTTTGACGTTTGTTAAAATTAAAATTAGACGATTTACTTGGTATAACGATAGAGTACTTGGTCCTAATGAACATACTACATCATCAAAGTCCTACAGAAACTGGTTTAAATATAAAAATTATTGATTTGTGAATATTTGCTTTTAGAAAATACTCCGAGTTAACGTGTTCGTTCGTTTTCAATAATGTGTTATAAATCCATTCGGAATACTTTCAATCACTCATAAATTAATTTATTTTTTATTAATTAAGTCGATTATTTACACATATCGGGAAGTTCATGTAACTTGCCTCAAGGCAAAATACCAATACCAACTAGTTCTTGTAAGTTTTTTGGGTGCTAATATGCATTTTATCTAGGCGCACCAGAAGTTCTTCCAACTCTTGATGCGGACCCAGATGTTCATCAGATTTATAGAAGAGAGGTCCTTTGTGTCGGAGCATGATCAAGGTTTGGCTTTCTTCGATGAATGTACAGAACGAGCAAACATCGAGGATTCTCAAGACACCAGGCTGATAGAATTAGACATGGCTGGCAACAGTGAAAGAACAGTTTTTGTGTTACCGCCTGAGTGCCAAACACCAGGTCAGTATCGATAACCCTAATGTAACAATACAGCTTATAATAATCATATGTCTCACTTTTAGGTGAAAGTTACAAATACGATTCCTTTGTACTGGATCCCACACTTTTGCTGCACAAGAAGCGTAACTTCAAGAGCCATTTGAACAATATCAATTCGTTGACTCCTGGTTCTCCAATGGCTCGAAGAACCAAACATGAGATTAAGTATGCGATGAGGATGGCTAAGCACAGTCAGGCGTCTCCTGAGAATTGGGCCAAATGTCTGTTGGGTGCTTGCTACTCGATGTACTTCATCGTGCTGCCTGCTGCTATCGATAGGAATGCAGGTAATGATAATAGACTGATAAAAGACTTATGCAAATTATCGTTCAATTTTGTGCATCAGTATTTGTTTCTTTTTGAAGTAAAACTTCTTTAGGCGCGACACGGGTGTAAATCCGTACAAATGCAACGAAAACGCCAACGTGAAGTTGAACACTACGACGCTGTAAGCGCAGCAATCGCAATTATTCGATCTAGTCTGCGAGCAAAACAAAAAATACATCAAATGCCAAATCATATGTCAAAAAGAAAACAAAATGTGTCGACTTTCACTTGAGTTTTGTATTTAGCTCGTAGTATCTAAACATTTTTTGAAGTAAAACTTCTTTAGGCGCGACATGGGTTAGTAGTATAATTCGTGAGTTGATAAAAATGTCAGGATCGGAAGAATATTTTATCCCGTCCCCCATAAATAATTGTAGTGCAAATGATCGCAAATAAATAATGAAACAAAGGAAAAATCTGCGCTGCGTAAGAAATGATAGCTTCGGCTATGTATGTTTTGTGTGTGATCGACTTTGGCTTCAAAGTGACTTAGAAATATCAAATGATGCTCGAAAACAAATTCTTAATAATGTTTTTTGAATATTGATTCAAATAATCAGGTTGGATGCCAAACTTGTCGAAAGATATTAAATTCGGGTAAAATTCCCACTTTGTGTAAATTTAACGGGTTTGTATTTCCACCTATACGAAATTATCTACCTAAACTAGATACTGTATCTGAAAGATTGTTAATTTCACCTAGGTTGTGTTTCATGCAAATTAGACGATTGCGACATGAAAATGGACAATTTGGAATGTTTGGCCAAATTATAAATGTGCCTGTTGACATTAATAATATGGTTAATTTATTACCTCGTAATATTGTTGATGATCATTGCATTAACGTTCACATAAAAAAGCAAATGATTCATAGATCAAGCTATGTGCAGGGCTTGATAAATAAAAGAAATATAAAAGTATGGCTTCAATTTGTTAGGCAAGACGGATATTACAGCTGTTCAAGGAATGAGATTATATCGTCAGCGAAAAAGTAAAAAAAATACAAACAGTAAATGAATGTATGTTAATTTTATTTACATGATCGTTAAAACAGGATGAGTTAATTTGCAAAAACAATATTTGTTTAGGCGTTGTTTAACATAATCCACTGTGTGAATGAATATTATAGAATTTATTAATCAGCAATTACTTTAAACCGATCATGTCATATTTCAAGTACGACTTTGATTACATTATTGTTTGTATTAGGTTGTCAAATATCTCCCTTCCGCCTTTTTGCTCTTGGTTTAATACAAAAAGGCGGAAGGGAGATATTTGACAACCTTATAAATATTATACATATTTTTAATGCAATCATAAATATATAATTTATAATTTATCATTATATAAATGTGTATAATGATTGACGACACTAATAAATGTGTGCATCACGAGTGTTACCATATTACTAATAAACATTATTCAAAATTTTTATATGATGTATTTATTTTTACTCAACTTAAATTTGCTACTTTATACAGTAGCAAATAAGTTTTACTCCAATCGCGTGTGATCCTTACGCGCACTCTTTTTTTTATAATTACAATATTTATTACCACTGTTAAATAATTTAATATCTAGTAATAATAATAATAAATAACATAAATTTAAATAAATAAGAGTACAAAGGATAGAATTTACATTAAATAAATAAATATAAATATAAATATAAATATAAATATAAATATAAATATAAATATAAATATAAATATAAATATAAAAATAAATATAAATATAATGATGTAGTATGATGATTCAATATAAAATAAAAGCAAATTATAATGAAAATAAAATTAATAAATAAAATTTCTGTATAATAAAATAATACTAAAAAAACAATAAAGTTCAATTAAAACAATAAGTGATAGATAATAATAAATATAACAAAATAACAATTTGTTTCTGTTGCAGGAAAAGAACAGTCGCTACTAAGATCTGCATATGAACTCCTAGTAAGAGCAAGCAAATTAAAAATACAATGCGATGAGGTACCTTCAATCATTTCACATAATTAATCATCAATTTTACTACCATGATTCAATTATCTTTTTTTTAGGTCTGTTACAGGGTGATGATGCAATTGTGCGGTGTCCATTCAGTACCAGTATTAGCAGTGCGTCTCTTATTCTTAATGAAGAGATCAGGACTGCAACCGAATGCTCTGACTTATGGTTTTTACAATCGTTGTGTGCTCGAAGCTGCCTGGCCATTGGACAGTCCCAGTTCGAGTCAACTTTTGTGGAACAGACTGAAGAATGCAGTTTTGGGTGCTGCCAGATTTAAGAGGGCTGGCAGGAGATACGCAGCGAGGAGGTAAAGGAATTATATAATGATTTATAATTAATCAGTTATCAAGTAGTATGAAAACTAATTGCATTATTACAATGGCTATTTCTAGATAGACATTTGTGATAGGAGGGTGAAAGTTTAGGGCTAACGGTGTTTTTAATTAAATCTAGATAAAATAATGAAGTATTAAATACAAAAAATAAAATAAAGCTCACGAGTGATTTTTATCACTTAGGATGTGTATGTGAAATATTTTGTATAAACTTTTTCAACTTTGTAGGATGTCTGCTAATGCTGATGATATCAGCACTAGTTTATTGGACATTGTCGATGGAGCATCACGAACGAGTTTGGAATCAGGCCATTCACACACAGATCTCATGGTAAGTTTTTTTTATATTGTAACTACAACAATATCTTTACATATAAAATAACTCTACTCCTAGACAATATTAGAATATAATATCTTCATATAGACGTTTTTGTCTACCGATTTTTACATTCAAAAGGGATAGTTAAAGGGTCATGCACTCGGACGTTAGGGCGCTGCTGTCGGCATTCAAATAAATGAATTTGAAATGAAAATTAATGAATTTTAGTAATCGGGTAATAACAAAATATACTAGATAATATTATATTATGATAAATATACAATCAAATCAAAATATAAATCAACAAATACACTGTCGGTTTAAATATATTTCACTTAATCAACTAAAACAACTTCCACACTTTTTCAACTTATTAATATAAATATTTAGTGAAATTCAGTAAGTAATGCATTAAAGTGTTAGTTCATTACATCATCTGTCGTTATTAACTCTTATAAGTAATAATCCTGTGCAAAATTTGACATTCTTAAACAATTCATTTTCTTCCAAGTATATTCAGATCCCTGTAGAGTGGTAATCAAATTTTAAACAGCTGGAAGATTTATAAATATTTTGTCTTTCTTGTAGAAGCTTATGCTTAATTCCTTACATAATTTCCAACAACTGGTGTCTTTCCTTAAAGTGTAATACGATTAGACTAATCTGTCAATGCACTACGTATTAATTATGTTCTGTATCTGAGTTTGAAGTCGAATTAAAAAAAAGATTAAATAACAAAATTATTTATTCCATTGAATGTTTCGACACTTGATGTGTGTCATCAATCTAAAAGTAATCTAAAAAACATATTACATAAATACAAAGTTGATAATCAAGTTTGCCCATGGGGTCTAGTATTAGTCCTCTTGTGGCTGATTTAACATTACAAATTTTTGAAAATTTTATTTTGACTAATTTTCCCATTCAACCTTATTATTATTATAGATATGTTGATGACATTCTCTTGTGTTTGGATAAGGATTATGTATCCCATACTTTAAATTCTTTTAATAAGCATTTGCAGTTCACTTGTGAACTTGAAGTTAGTAATTCTATTAGTTTCTTAGACTTAAAACTTACAAAAAACAAAAATGTCATCCTAACTGACTGGTTCCAAAAACCAACTTGGTCTGGTCGATATTTAAATTATTTTTCCTATCACTCTCGTTCTATAAAAATGTCAGTTGTCATTTCCTCAATAGATAGGGCCATTTTGTTAAGTGATAAGATTTTTTGGGTAAAAAACCTATCTATAGTTCGTTCTGTTTTGAATAATAATTCTTATCCTTCATATTTAGTTAATAACGTCTTTAAAAATAAATTAGAGTTTTTACAAAACAATTTAAACAGTTCCTTCTATCCTAACAATTCTTTTTCAAAATCTAATTTTACCTCTTTAGATAAATATAAAGGTGTTATTTGTTGACCTTTCTTAAGCAAGTTTTCTTATTTTTTAAAAAAGTTATTTGCCGCTGAAGATTTTCTTTTGGTTTTCAGTTTTGACAACACTTTCAGTTGCCTTTTCTCTTCTCTTAAATCAAAAACTCCCGCTGATAGGGTTACTGATTCTGTTTACAGGTTGGACTGCAATGATTGCAATAGTTTAGTGAAAGTTCTCAATATATATACAATAGGGTTAATCAACATACATATAATTCTAGAAACCCAAATCAATTCAAAACGATGCTTTCTGAACATATGATAAACCTGAACCACACTTTTAACATGTCAAATCCTTCCATCCTTTACATTGAAAAAAATTGTGACCTTAGAAAGATAGTTGAGTCTTTACTTATACTTATATCCCTTAATACTTCTTGTGTAAACAAACGTAATTCCTCTCATCTCTTACATGACAGTTACAATGTCATCATTAATTTCATGAAAAGTAATACAATACAGTTTTAGAATTTTTTGTTCATTATATTTCTTCTCTGTTTCTCTTTCCCCTTTCGTTTCTCACACCCCGCTCCCGCTCCATCACTACACTTGCTTTGTAACCTTGATCAGTGTCCATAATGCACCGCTATCAATAACATTAAATATAGGAGGGCAAATATATGCTCCTTCTATTTCTTGTTTGTTAATATAATAGTATTTTATTATTTTACATCAACTTAGTGTTCAATCAATTTTACATCATAATTAATTTTTTCTGTTGTTTTTCCTGGTTTGGTATGTATAATTTTCTCCTTTTCACATATTTATATTTATTATCAACCTTGTATTATGTATAATATTTTTTTAGATTACTGAATGATGACACACATCAAGTGTCGAAACGTTTAATGGAATAAATAATTTTGTTATTTAATCTTTTTTTAATCGACGATTGGGCTGCAAAAATATTACAAATATATATATATATATATATATATATATATAATAATAATATATATATATATATATAATTATATTATTATTTATAGACAGCACAAAATTTAGACTACATGGCCTTTGACAAGCTCAAAAATCGTTGCAGTACAATTGTGAGATCTGGTAACACTCCTGATGCACTGACATCAGAAAACGTTTTGTCCAGTGCAGGATTACTAATGTCAGGTAATTATAAAAAATATAACTAGTTGTGAATCATAAAAATTTGAGGCTTTTGGTGATTTAACAACTTAAGGGGGTCTTCCTATGTGACAGCCGGTTTTTTAGGGATATTTTAGGATTTTTTTTCTACGACCAGTATATATTTAGAGCTTCAAGTTTTTTATCATTTATTAACACATATTTGGACAGTATAAATATAAAATTTCAGCTAAAAATATTCAGTCAAACTAGAGTTACAGCGCTCTGAACACCCCCGCCTCGAAAAAAAGAGCTCCCACTTCCTCCACGATTCCGGCTGATCGGCTTATCTGAAAAAAAAAAAATAAACGGCGTTTTAATTTGTAGGCTTAAAAGCACGGAATGACCTATAATCAAATGAATATAAAAAATTGGATTTTTGATAGACATTTGAAATAAAAGTTGCAAATTAGGCGTTTTTTTTGTTTTTTGCTATAAAAAATCGAAGTTTTGAAAATTTTCGATTGATAATAGTTCATTCCATGCGTTTAAATATATTGAGTGTGCCCTGTAAATTTCAAGTAATTCGGTCCAGCCGTTTCTGAGATACAATGGAGGAAAGTTTGAAAAACACAGTTTTGAGAAAAACGCGTTTAAAGTTTCTAACTGCCAACTCAGCGCTCCGAACCGCTCTTTCTTTTACCTGCTGTATCTTTAAAACGACTTCGAATTTTCTAAATTCGCTTTACTACCGTATTCTAGACATGTTAAGGGAGCAATTTATGAAAAAAAAAATCGATTTTTTCAACCCATCACATAGGAAGACCCCCTTAACACAGTACTGATATATAATAACAACATAGTAGTTGATCAAATTAAATCTATTACATTATTAACCTAGCTCTTTTCCCTTCAGCTAATACAGAAAAGCCGCAAAGAGTAAATTCAGCTTCTTCACCACCTCCCACACCAACAGCAAATCATTTTAAAGGCGAAAAGAATCCAAGCAAAGTTTTCACGAGGGCTGAAAGTTTTGCCAGTGATGCTCAGATTGTAGATAAACTGCAGAGAATGCAACTCGGAGGTAAAGAAAAGATTTAAATTAAAAATATAAATCACCTATGAGTTATTAGTCTTTTTTATTTTGAGCACTGTTTTTTAGTGTATGATGATCTAAATATAATTTTTAAGTTATTATATTTATTATTTTCATTATCGGTTAAATATTTTTCTAGGTGGGGATACTGTGAATAGTAAACGAATCTTGGATTTCTCGGAGGCAAATTCAACAGAAGAGTTGGACAAAACCGATGATATTAAAACCTCACCAACAAAGTAAGTCTGTCAACAGATTTTTATCAAACAACTGTTAAATAAATCCTATTTTATTAACTTCCCGTAGGGCAATTTATAGTAATCGCAAAAAAATCGAAAATGAAAATTCTTATATATCTTAACGTTTCAAAGGTTTCTGAATATTTTGGCATACCTTAGATTTAGAAAAAATGGATGTATGTGTGTGCGGATACAAATTTTCGTCGACGATTTCCGGAACACCGATCAACTGATTTGAATAATTCAAAAAATATACGATTCGTATTGATAAGGAGACGTGCTGATTAGTTTTTGCCAAAGGCTGGTCTAGCCGTTCCGAAGATCGGGGCAAAAAGTGTCAAAAATGGTAACTCAGTTTTTAAGAGAACGGATCATCCGATTTGTATGATCCAAAAACATTCGTAATGACGACGAAAAGTGGTTATTAATTTTTGGCAAAGGTAGGCCCAGCGGTTTCGGAGATACAGAGCTAAATGTTAAAAAAATGGCAGTTTTTGAGAGAACTAGGCGTCCGATTTAATTGATTCAAAGAACTTTCTGCTTGTTTCAACAAAATAATTGCTTTTGGAAAATAAAATTTTTGTTTCTAATTTTTTTTTTCAATAAATATTTTTGTAATTTTGGATTAAAAATTGAAAAAATCACCCAGTCTAAGCACAGTCTAAGCGCCACTCTGGTACAAATGTTTACCTAAGTGCGTTTAGACTGTTTATGCACTGGAGCACTTTTCCAATTTTGTGTGAAAAACTATTGAAAAATGTGAAAATGCCGCCAAGCTAAGCACAGTATAAGTGAAAATGTCGCACAGAATTATTTGCAAATGCGTTTAGACTGTAACTATACACCGGAGCACTTTTCCAATTTTGTGAAAACTTGAAAAATGTGAAAATGCCGCCAAGCTAAGCACAGTATAAGTGAAAATGTCGCACAGAATTGTTTGCAAATGCGTTTAGACAGTGACTATACGGGAGCACTTTTCTAATTTTGTGTGAAAACTTGAAAAATGTGAAAATGCCGCCAAGCTAAGCACAGTATAAGTGAATGTCACACAGAATTGTTTGCAAATGCGTTTAGACTGTGACTATACACGGGAGCACTTTTCCAATTTTGTGAAAACTTGAAAAATGTCAAAATGCCGCCAAGCTAAGCACAGTATAAGTGTTAATGTCGCACAGAATTATTTGCAAATGCGTTTAGACTGTGACTATACGGGAGCACTTTTCCAATTTTGTGAAAACTTGAAAAATGTGAAAATGCCGCCAAGCTAAGCACAGTATAAGTGAAAATGTCGCACAGAATTATTTGCAAATGCGTTTAGACTGTGACTATACGGGAGCACTTTTTCAATTTTGTGCAAATTAGACAACTATTTTTTTTTTAATTTGTGGTTAAATATAAAGAGTACGGAACCCTATTGGTTTCTAGGGACTTTAATTATGATATTCGTAAAGTGCTCGTCGAGACCTTTCATTTGATACCCCACATGCATTTTTACCCTATGACGTCGTTATGGGTCTTTTTGACCCGCTGTACTATATATAGTAAGGCACAATCACTACATATACTCGCTAAGTAGCTGTGCGTTTGTTCATTATAACTCTTGCAACAATATTCAGTTTCGAATTCGAAATGAATTGACGATTGTTAATGGATGTTCTGGAGATAAAATGATTTATGATTTTTTACATTTGATTTGCTCAGATACAACAAGATAGCAAAAATAATGAAAGTTTTACAGTATTTGTAATAATATATTTGAAAACGTCGAAAATTTCTCGAATATTTCATTGCGGTACGGGAAGTTTCAGCAATTTGCCTTAAGGCACGTTGCCATGCGCCCCACTAGTTTTATTATTGTTGCACCATAAAAATTTAACCATCAATCTTTTCCCTCCAGGACTTCGCCCAGAACCCCAGTAACATCAAACGATCCCCTAGGAGCCCTAGACAGGCCACCAACACCAGAACCAGCCCCAGTCCTACCCGAGAACGTTGTTCTGACACAAAACAACAATGAACTGCTCTCGGATACTCCTCAGTTGTTCAAAGGCCAAAGGAGTGCAACGTTTGACGAATCCTTACATTTGGGGTAAGCGAGTAAAATATATTATATAATATGAATAGATTGTGCTAAAATTAGATTAAGCATGTATGTAGGTATTAAGTTCAATTTCATTTTTAAAGAAAAAGTTTGCACAGGAGTGAAACGGTGCCTGCCAATTCGGTGACATCGAGCTTGGCCAGTTTAGGGAATTCCTTGAAACTCAGCTTCGGGTAAGTGAAATATATATATACTAGCTAATCCGGCAAACGTTTTGCCATAAAAATATGCCTAAATTGATAAAAAATTAATAAAAGTGCCAAAAATCAAATATTTAATAGATTTGGACTCTGATTCTTTGACAAATAGTTAAAAACTTGTTATAATTTTCAAAATTATTTGACATTTCATACTTCAAAAATTAATTCACTCGCATCATAGTTTTTTGTTTATTATACTTTTGTCATGTCATATATGTCAATAAAATTTTCTTTCAAATATTATTTATTTGTTAATGAATTAATAATTATTTTAAGTCATCAATGAATAATTATATAATTGTTAAATTCATAAGTTTGGCTAAATCAACACAGGAATATTGTGGAAATAAATATTTTTTTATATAAAGTTTTGATTTTTGACATTTGCATTTTATTTTAAATTAATTATAACTGTCAAAATATTTTCTTTTCGGTCAAAATTTAATATGATATGATATAATATTTAGTTTGTCTAGTTTGTTTTTGTCAGATTCCAATGATACCCTCAGATTGTACTATTCCATTTAAGAGCTTACAATTTCCTGTAAAATTAGCATTTGCGATGACAATCAAAATATATCTTAACTGATATATTAATAATAATATTATATTTTAATTACACAAATTTCTTTACACTCCGATAAATAATTCCAACGCATCATAGTGTTTTGTTCATTTTAATTTTGTTTATGTCAATTTTTTTTTAATTAAAGAATAAATTAAATTTTAGTCTAAATCAACGCAGTATCTTTATCTAAATATACAATTTTTTATATAAATATTTGATTTTTTACATTTGCCATTAATTGAAAAATAGTGAATGTCAATTTCATATATCCAATATGCACTAAATTTATAAATGTCAAATCATTTCCTTCTTGGTCCAAAATTAATATAATATGATAATATTTATTTTACAATAATGTTTTGTATCTATAATTTGCTTGGCAATATTGCTTATAACATAACTTGGAATAATTAATTTATTTGCTTCTTATTGAAGTAAGTCGTTAAACATTTTTTTGTAAAATGTCAAAATTTTGTTTATGATTAATTTTAAATTCAATATGTCGCTTTTTTATTGTGATCTCTGATCTATAAGGTTTTGATGAAGTTTTGGTTTCCGAAATAATTTGGTAAGCTAATCAATTAAATCTAAATCGTAAATCTATTTATATAATTATTTTCATAAATACTGACAAATGACAGTTAATTTTTTTACATGTCAACATTTATTTAAATTTTTAAGCATTGATTTTTAATTAGATTTAAAACTATAAACAGTGATTTTGAATATAGCATTTCATCAAATTTGGATTTAAATGTTGGATATTTCTATATATGTACATGTTCTTGAATTTTATTTTTTGGAATGTCAAATTTTTTTTTCAAAAATTATATATAGAAATTTCCTTAAATTTTGACATTTGTCATTTTAGTGTTTTTTTATTTTTGGTCATTTTCTGTCAAAATTTTTAGAAATTTATAAAAATTGTATATTTATATTTCAAATTTACTTTTCAAAATTTCCTATAACCTAAGTTGGATATATATGCACACGATGAGCCAATAAAATTTAAAATCGGTTCAGTAGTTTGGGCGTCCATCGCGGACCAACATCGTGACACGAGATTTATATATATATAGATGTATTTCCAAATATTTAATATTTTGCTAATAATGAAGACTTTAAAAGTTTATGCAACATTTACTCACAGCTATCAAATAAGTCAATAAAATATGTTGTTTATTAATTTATGAGACTGCCAAATAATTTGCAGATGTTTTTCAAAAGTGCAATATAATTACAGCATGATTTGTGTGAATTGCTGGCACATAATCTTAAATAATATAATATGATAAGCGGTGATTTTGCATGTACATTAATATTCAAGTATAAGAGTATCGTAATACATCACTCAACAATAATCTGGTTTAAAAAGAAAGAACTAGTGGGGTGCATGGCATCGTGCCTCAAGGCAAATTGTTGAAACTTCCCGTACCGTAATTAAACATTCGAGAAATGCAAATGATATATAATTGTTTTGAATAATTTCAAATAGATTATTTATTATAAATGCATACTGTAAATTTATAAGTAATTTTTAAATTGGGCGACGAGCGTATTCTACAAACAATCTTATGTGTATGTTTGTTTACAAGAAATACGTTAAACTTTTTTTAAATTTGATTTTTTGATAATTTTGAATTTTTTTCAAAATTTTGAGATTTTTTAAAAGGTTCGAAATTTATTTTTAATCTTGGTATTTTTTTAAATTCAAAAAAAAAAATACAAAATGAATGGAAATTTTTCGTTAAAAAGCTAATAAACATGTATATAAAATTTAGTTTTTTAAAATGAAAATTTTTATAGATCTTTACGTTTCAAAACCTTCTGAACATTTTGGCATACCTTAGAAAAAATGGATATATGTGTGTGTGTGTGTGTGTGTGTGTGTGTGTGTATGTGTGTATGTGTGTGTGCGTGTAAGTATGTATGTTCGGATACAAATTTTCGTTAACGATTTCGGAAACACGGATCAACCGATTTGAATAATTCAAAAAACATTCGATTCGTATTAATAAGGAGACGTGCTGATTAGTTTTTGGCGAAGGTAGGTCTAGCCGTTCCGAAGATACGGGGCAAAAAGTGCCGAAAACGGTAATTCAGATTTTAAAAGAACGGAGCGTCCAATTTGAATAATTCAAAAAACATTTTATTTGTATTGACTAAATGAAGAACTGTTCAAATTTTTGGGAAGGCAGGTCAAACGACTTTGGAGATATGGAGGAAAGAGTAAAACAAAAGAGCCATTTGGCGGTCAAAAATGAACATTAGACATATGCACATCAAATTATCAGATATTTTATAGAGATTTTAACAATAAGTATAAATTTTGTTTACATTTCTATGGGTTCCGTATCAATGTTTACGCGGTAGACGGCGACGCGGCGCTTACGCGCTTTGATATTTCGTCTTTATGCAGTTACAGCAGTACGATTGCTTTGAAAAAAAGTTCAGAATTTCCAAAATATTTCAAAATTTTAGGATTTAAAATAGAGTGATTTAATATGGTTCGAAATTCTATTAAAAGTTTCAAATCATCGATCAACATTTATTGATTATTATTATTGATTTATTTTTAATTACTCGAATTTTGAATTGCGGTACGGGAAGTTCCAGCAATTTGCCTTAAAGTACGATGCCCTAATTGCCTTAAGACAGAATTCCACTTACAGCTAGTCAATCGGTTTGAATCGGTTGATCCGTGTTCCCGAAATCGTCGACGAAAATTTGTATCCGCACACACACACACATACATACACACACATACATACACACACATACATTTTTCTAAGGTATGCCAAAATGTTCAGCAACCTCTGAAACGTAAAGATATATAAAAATTGTTATTTTCGATTTTTTTGCGATTACTATAACTTTCCCTACGGGAAGTTAATTAACTTTCTGAAGGATAATTTTTCGTTTGGCACCAAAATTCGAAATTTAGTACCCTGAGTGATGTATTTACTTTACTCTGCAGCTTTATGATAAACATATGTGTACATTACAATTAATTTATTTATTTTCTAACATCACCAATATATTTTCTTGTGTTTTATTTTATTCCTCGCACACAGTCGCTATAGTCCTGCCCGCATGTCTTTGCGAAAATCCGACTTAAAACTGCCACAGCATATCATTGAGAATGCCATCACCAGCATCAGGTAATATCGATGGATACACTTTTTGTATCCATACACTCATTGCACGATACCAATCATTCCAACTAAATCTAACAATAGTCCAGTCATTTGGTCGTTTTGCCGGTACAGTACTCCGGGAATTCTGAAAATTGGTAATCTTATAGATTTCGAGGTGCTCTTTACGGAAATCAACTTTGCCACCTCAAATTTGAACGGCAAGTTGCCGCCATATTGGAAAAATGGCGTCAAAAAACAGCTTTTTTAAAATATCTCCTTTCTGGCTCATTCTACGATAAAAGTATATATGTACGAAATTAAACTAGAGAAAATTTCCTACAATTCCTTAGAAAACCGTTTTTTTGTTAAATTGATAGTTTGAGAGTACGGCCGCCTCAAAGTCTTTGCTGCTCTCGCCGTAGTATCAAATTTGTCCATATATGACAGCACTTCGAACTTGACCACATTCTCTCTAATAATTAATATTTTCAATATTAAATTAAGCGAATAAGATCTAGAAATAAAATAATTCAAATATTTTTCTGTTTTTTGCTGATTTTTTAACGAAAAATATTTGAATTATTTTATTTCTGGATCTTATTCGCTTGATTTAACATCGAAAATATTAATTATTTGAGAGAATGTGGTCAAGT